CCCCCCCCCCCAGTGGGCTGAGCTGGCCACACACACACACACACACAAATAAATAAATTAATTAATTAAATTTAAAAAAAAAAAGTAACTGGCTTGTATGGCATAACATGCGCTATATGTGCTCAGCCCTCCTAATTCTTTGTGCTTAGAATCAGCCAGCTACAGACCAAAAATATTCGGGGGGGAAGTGGCAGGCACTTTCTTTGAAGTCTACAGGAGGATGTGCGCAGGTAGTTCGTAGATACTGCGCCCTCAGTGGTGGCTTGAGAATGCCCATGGCTGAAGGGTGGCTGTGCGTGCTATTGCACTATGCGCCTTTTCCTACCAATCTTTAGGATGCGTATTGCATTTTTTACTGGTGTTTCTACTTGGTGTAGAATATTTTCTCAATCTTCACATGTTCCATTGTACTTATAATTTTATAACTTGTTTTTTTTTTTCTGTTTTGTCTTTGACTTTCTGTTGTTTGGGCAAAACATTAATTAAATAGTAGGTTGAGTGGCCTTGAGGTATAGTTTTTGGGGTTTTTTTTTGGGGGGGAGGCCTGGCTCCAAATGCCTTCAGGGCAGGTTTGGCTGGCTTGAGTTGGGATCAGACCACAGCAGCCTGAGCCTGACTGCTTTGTTGAAGCAGCCACTTAAAGAACTGAGCTAAGGGGCAGGCCCCCAAGGTATAGTTTTGATTAAAAAAAACTTTGCTGAATAATCATTTCATATAAAACCCCAACAAATCCATTATTGAAAAAAATTAAGCAATGTATTTTAAAAGATAATTTTCTTTGTGTTGTTCTCTTGAATAACACACTTATTGAATTTAATTATTATCTAGGTTCAACTATAAAGTCCATATTTCTTTCTCTCTCTCTCTCTCTCTCTCTCTCTCTCTCTCTCTCTCTCCTTTTTTTCATGGCTGGCTCAGCCTGCCCTCAGGGCAGGGCTGATGGGGCATGTGGTGCCAGGAATTGAGCTGGGGTCCCGTACTTGCCTGAGCTTGACCAAGTAGGCGCTTTAGACCTCTGAGTATCTCACTGGCCCGAAGTCCATATTTCTTATGGGTAGGAAAAATGAAAACTCCGTAAGTTCAAGCAAGTTGATTGCCAAAGAATTTACTAAGTTTTACTTATATAAAATTTTAGTCAATACCCCAAGACAGTTATTGATTACCTTATTGATTAGCTAGTTTCTTCTTTGGTAGTCTTGTTGTTTTACCTAAAATTGCAGTCTCTCTTTTGTTTTGTCTTTTAAATTTTGACAATATTAAATACCCTCATGAGGTTTTTTTGAGCCACCTATTTTAAGTAATCCCATTAATAAGATTTCAAAAGTAAGCCTCATGCTGTAGACAGCCAGCCATTCTGGGATAACAGCAAACAGCTACTGTCTGTGCCATCTCTTCTGTCGATATTCAGCTGTTAACAAGTTTTGGTGACATTTGCAGGAGTACTCTTCACACTTGTTGCCTCTTTGGGAGATTACAAGCATGATGGTGGTGGTAATGACAATGTGACATGATGAAAAATGCCAGCCTTCACTGAAATACTATTATGTTTCTAATAGCTTGCTGACCAGTCTCCTACATAAGAACCCAATTTGGGCCAGCGAGATAGCACAGCGGTCTAAAGCACATGCTTAGGCAGCCCAGAGACCAGGGTTCCTATCCCCAGCACCACATGCTGTGCCAGGCCTGCCCCCAGGGCAGACTGAGCTGGCCACAGAAAAATAAAAAAGCTTATTCAGCTCCAGGATCCCATCTAGCTCCATAACCACATAGTTTTCTCCTTATAGTTATTTTCCTTCGTTTGTTTTTTAGGAATAAGCTAATAGCTAGGTAGGGTAAAAATAACCTTGTGAATATGGCCGAGAGGCAAAAATACTCAGTGCTCAGGTTTGACTTAAAGGGTTAAATGAATGAACTCATGGAGGAGTGTCACTTCCCTTCTTTAAAAGGGTAAATATGGAGTAGAAAGGAAATAAAACACAACACACAAAAACATGTAGAGGGTTTCAGCCCTGAGAGAAAATTCCCTGCCCCTGGACAAAAGCTTGGAGTTGGTAGCAGAGAGATGGCCATGAAAAGTGAAAAACGAAAGAGAGCATTTGTTTTTGCTTTTGCTTTTAATTTGCAGTAGAAATCTTATAAATCAACCTCTTCACATTTCAAATATACGCTATTATTTTCTTTTGGCAAGTTTTGAAACTTTCATGATTCTCCATAAATTTAATTTGCATTGCTCATATTTTATAATACAATTGCTTCAAAGGTTATTTGTAGATCGTGTTCATTGATTTGTCTCTATGAATAGAAAACTGTAAAACTCCACGAGTTAGAGCTGTACGTTGTCTGTGAAATATTCAAACAAGCACCTAGGGGCCGGGGAGATGGCTCAGTGGAATAAACAATTCCCTGGCAAGCGCAAGGACCTGAGTTCAATCCCTGGTTCTGCCAAAAAAAAAAAAAAAAAAAAAAAAAAAAAAAAAAAAAAAAAAAAAAAAAAAGCACCTAAATTTAAGCTAAATGGCTGGCCACGGCAGTAGCTCAGCGGTCTAAGTGCCTGCCTGGGCAAGCACAAACACCCGAGTTCAATCCCCAGTACCACATGCCATGCTGGCCGCCCCAGGTGCACCAAGCTGGCCACTGAGCTGCATCGTGAGACCCTATACCGAATACATAAAAGTAAAAAAAAAAAAAAAAAAAAAAGCATATAGAGCTTAGAGATGTGGCTCAGTGACAGAACACTTGCCCAGCGTGGATGGAGTTCTGGGTTCAGTCTCCAAACACCCCAATATTCTCGCTGCTTCTAAGAACCTTAACTGGGAGGCAATGACTGGAATAAGAACAAGAAGTGGTTGTTATTCTTGTACCCCCACTCAGCAATCCCTTGGTTTCCTCTGTGTTGTGTACTTGGTTAGCCCGTTCAAAATCAGGCAAGCCCGTATTCAGTGACACTGTACAAATTATTTTATCTCTCTTTGCTTTGATTCTCTTGTATAAGATGGAAATAATTATATTCTCTATCTTTTTTGGGGGGTGGGTGCTGGAGATCGAACTCAGGACCTTGCACTTGCCTGGCTGGCGCTTATGTTACTGAGCTATAACCCCAACAATAATTATATTTTGTATTTCTTAATGGTATTAAATTACTAATATGTGATTATAATTAGCAATCTCTAGCGTGATTACCACAGTGCTGTATATTTGCTCTTACTATGTTATTGATCAATGAAATTCAAACCTACTTGAGAAATAGGAATGTCAACTGAGATAAGGGGAAAAATACAAGGTGGAGGAATTCAATGCAAGAAAAGTTAATCTGCCAACAGACTGAAAAGTATTCCCACTATGAGAGTCCAGAGTTGGGGCCCAGTGAAGACGCCCTCGCCCAAGGATTCAGTGAACTTGTCCTCGCCGACCAGTATGCAGTGGGGATGGAAGAGAAAGACGGTGTGCTTGCAAGGCTTTTCTGAGGAAAAGAGAAGACGCCGCTGACCTCAGCCTCTCAGACTCAGTGACTGACATTAGGAAGTATCATTAGCAGAGCTAGCAATCCCAGGACTGTCTTCAGGTTTTGAATAATTTCTTTGTATCAGGAAATAAGAAATACAAAGTCTTACAGACTGGTGAAGATTAGATGTAATTGAGTCACATTTTACTATATTATTTATGTAATAATAAATAACTAATAATCTTTATCAGATTTGTAGATGAACATTTCAAGAGCTTTCCTCCTAGTAGGAAAACCATTTTATATTTTTCCAATTCTGTGATTTAGATTTCTAAGTAATATTGTTTTGGGCCCCCAGAGACCTGTTACTCTTTGATTTATTTATCTCAAGATTGTTGTTATAAAAAAAAAAAAAAGACAAAAAAAAATTGGGGGCCGGGGAGATAGCTCAGTGGAATAAGCACTTGCCTGGCAAGCTCAAGGACCTGAGTTCAGTCCCTGGTTCCGCAAAAAAAAAAAAAGACAAGATTGTTGTTATAATGATGTAAGACATTCAAACATAAAAACTTGAAAACTTAAAATAAAATAAATAAATTAAAAGCTGGCCAGATAGCTCAGTGGACGAAAGTGCCTTCTTGGGCAGGCACAGGGACTGGGGTTCAATCCCCCTTGTGCTGTACTGGCCCTACCCCCAGGGCATGCTGAGACTGGGCACAGTGGTGCGCATCTGTAATCTCAGCACTTGGGAGGCTGAAAACAGGAGTATCTCTACAAGTCCAATCTGTGTAGTGAGACCCTGTAGACCCTGTACTAAATATAAAAATTTAAAAAAATAAAAACCTTGGAAACTGAAATTTTTTTTTGTTTGTTTGTTTTTCTGAACTGTTACCTATAAAATTATTCAGAGTTGCAGATAAGTTCAGTTCATTGTTTCATGCATACTTTTCTTATTTCCAGGTTCGCTGGATGATGTACTGGATTGTTTTCGCTCTGTACACAGTGATTGAAACAATAGCAGATCACACAGTTGCCTGGTAAGCCCTGTTAATAGGCCTCCACCCTTCTCACTTTCATGTGTCCAGAGTTATCCTGCCTTTGTTGGTAACAAAGTGAATTTCGTCCACTCATCAATCCTGCAGCCTCTCTCTTCTTGGTCTGTGTTCCCCTGAGCACACTACTTCTTGTATAGCCCCCGCTCCTGCGTGAGGACACTTCTGCCCACCTCTCCACGCTGCCCCCAGGATCCTGGAGTAGAGAAGCGTGACCGGCATCACCCCCGTCCTGCCTTGATGATGTCAGAGGATCTTTCTTTTTTTTTTTTAATTTTTTTTTATTTATTTGAGAGAGAGAGAGAGAGAGAGAGAGAGAGTGTGTGTGTGTGTGAGAGAGAGTGTGTGTGTGGGGTGTGTGTGTGTGGCCAGCTCAGCCCACCAGGGGGCGGGGCTGGCTGGCATGTGGTGCTGGGGGATTGAACCACGGTCCCTGGTCCTGTGCTTAGCTTGTTCTAAGTAGGTGCTTTAGACCACTGAGCCATCTCTCCAGCCCAGAGGATCTTTCTTGATCACGCCATAAGTGACTTCTTTTCTGGAGCCACAGCATCTAATTTTTACCATTTCCTCTCGTGCCCTAAAATCTTACCTCAAACACTGAGATTGGGAGGTATCCGTGTCATCATCCATCAACCCCAGGTCCTTAGCTGCCCTGTTCCAATTACATGAGGCAAAATCAAAGCGTGTTTATTTCCTTGGGGATTCAACACTCTTCCAGTACTTAATGGAACAATTCAAATGTCTTTGTGCTGTGTTTCGATAGTGAATTTCCGTCTAAACTCTGCCGTCATTTGAAGTCCTTTTTTCACAATATTTAACTTATGACCTTACCTATATGTGATACCCCATGCACATAAACTTCAGTCTGAATTAACCCAGTTGCCCTTCTTCTTTTCTTCTCTGAGGCTACAAAATGCAGCCAACAGGAATCACTCACCAGCACCTACAGGCATCACTTAACCATTCATTTTATTTGCTTAGATCAGTTGCAGCTTCAGTTCCCTGCTGTGTCAACACCACACCTTTACTGTTCTTTTTTTGTTGTTTTTGTTTGGTACCAGGAATGGAACTGAGGACCTTGCACTGCTAGGAAGGCGCTGCGCCGCTGAGCTGTCTCCCCTGGCCCCCTGCTCTGCCCTTGAGCTCTTTCCTGCTTTGCCTTTCTGCTATTCTTAGAGCACACTCATCCCCATTGGATGTGCCAGGAACAAAACTAGAAGTCATCAATCTCAAACCTTAAAAACCTGCTTATTTGTCAATTTCTCGGTCTCTGCACCTGCCTTTCTTTCTGTTTTATTTTGATGGGGGGACCTGAATGCATAGGTTACCTCCCATAGGCCCCACCTTACTTGAAATGTATTTTCCTCTCTTTGTCCCAAGTCCATTTACTTACCTTTTTGTTTGTTCTTTTGTTTTTTTGTTTTTTATATAGGACAAGGGTCTACAGGATCTCACTACTAGGTCAGACTCATAGTGATGCTCCTGTTTACAGCTTCCCAAGTGCTGGGATTACAGATGTGTGCCACCACACCCAGTCTCAATTGCCATCTCAGCACACCCCAGGGGTAGGGCTGGCAGAGCTGGCCAGGAGATCGAACTCCTGGCCCCTGTGTCTGCCTAAGCAGGTGCTTTAATCTGCTGAGCTATTTGACTGGCCCTTACCTGTTTTTAAGGTTTTGTTTTTTTGTTTTTTTTTTTTATCTGAATGCCCTGAGGGGTGGTTTGGCTGGCTGGAGTGTAGTAGGGATCGAACTACAGCAACCTGAGGCTGACAGCTTTGTGGAAGCAGCCACTTAAACAACTGAGCTAAGGCCAGCCCCCCCCCCTTACCTGTTTTTAAAGTAGAGGTTAGGGGCCGGGGAGATGGCTCAGTGGAATAAGCGCTTCCCTGGCAAGCACAAGGGCCTGAGTTCAATCCCCAGTTCCGCAATAAATAAATTAA